GCATCGGATGTACATATATACCACATTTCGTTGGTCTCTTCATCTGTTGATGGACATTTGGATTATTTCCATGTTTTGGCTATTGTGAATAGTGCTGCTATGCACAAGTCTATATAGCGATCTCTGCAAAACCCTGCTGGCAGTTCTCTCGAGTCTATACCTCAAGGTGGAATTGCTGGGTCATACAATGCTACTTTTCAATTGTATGTATTTATCTATTTTTGTTGTTGTGTTTTGAGACAGGATCTTGCTATGTAGCCTCAAACTTGCAGCAATCCTCCTGCCTCAGCCTCTTGAGTGCTGGGATTACAGATGTGTGCCACCACACCCGGCTACTTTTCCATATTTTGAGGAGCCACTGTGTTCTCCACAGCACTGTGCCATTTGACATTCCCACAGCTGCCCACTTTGGAGTATGATCTGTGGGCCTTAAAACCACCTCTAAGGCTGAAGAAGGCATTGCCTTTCTTTCCTTCTTCCCCTGCGTTCAGGGTGCCCAGCTCTGGATTGAATCCTCTGTGGTGCTGTGGGTGCCCAGGGCCCTTTCACTGGCTGGTTAGGCAGATGGGGGGTACCCAGCCATCTGTAAAGACTGTTCCAGGGCCGGGGATTTAGCTGAGTGGTTCCAGCACCTGCCGCTCAAGCGCAAGGTCCCAAATTTAATCCCCGGTACAAAAAGAAGAGTGTTCCATAGCAGAGGGAGCTTTCTGTCTCCACCTCTGAATTCAAGGCCCAGGTCTTCAAGGACCCTAGGACAGGTCTGTGTGGAAGGGTGGCTGCCTGAGATGGCATGAATCATCTCAGACTGAAGGAGCTGGGACCAGTAGGTACTGAGTCTGGGACTGGGCCAGTCTGCTGGCCTCCAAACTGGAGGCATAGAGGTCATGACAAAGCAGAGCACCCTCTTGAAAGGAGCTTGTTGAGCTGCATGTAGACAAAGAAAGGCTCCTCTGTCAGTGAGACTTAGGAGGCAGCCCCTGGCTTCCCACTCACCCTGCGGGGCTGTGTCACAAACACAAGTTCCTTCCAGATTGGGTTCAAGATCTGCATTGTGGACCAGGTTTGTGGTGTGATTTGGCCTCTTGTGCAGAGAAGGCCTCTTGGGGTAGAAGGGAAGAGACTCCAGGGCCGGATGGTTTTCCCTCCAGACACTGGACAGGAAAATGGACCTTCATAGCAGATTTGTCAGAGAAGAGATGTAGGTAAAGAAGCCTCTTTTTATGGGAAGAATTAGATGATTGGACTGTGACCCTGCTCAGGCAAAGGCCTTGCCAGCATTGAGGACCTTTTTGGTCTTAACATATATGTGTGCTTTACAGAGAACCACCTCAACAAGCTTATGCTCTTGACTTTGACCCTCTGTTTCTCTCAACCATAACTACTTCCTTTAAAAGAAGGCATTATCTCCCTTACTTTCAGATAAGTTTTCAGACAGGGAGATAAGGACAGATCTCACGTGTATAATTTGGTTACTTGGACTGATGTAAATATCCATATACCTAGCACCCTTGTAAAGATGTAGGATGCTTCCATCGCCCAGAAAGTTCCCTTGGGCCCCTTCCTGAGTAATTCCCATCGTCTGCATCCCAGGCAACCACTGATTATTTTCCATTCACATAGGTTAATTTGCCTTTTTTAAAAATGTTATATAAGTGAAATCATATAGTATGCACTTTTTTGATGTCTTCTTCCATGGAATATGATTTCTGAGAAATTTGTCTATGTTGTATGGATGTAAGACATAATTTTTTTTCCCATTAAGTTTATTGGTACATTTTTGGTATAAAATACAGTTACATTCATCATTGGGATCTTGTACCTTTACATGAGTATCTTGGTTCTTATTTTAAGACATATTTAATATAATTCTTTAATTTTTTTTCTGCACTCTACTTTATTGTATAAATATGCTATAATATGTAAATTCTCCAAGAACTATTTTTTAAGTGCAAAGGGAGGAAGTCCATGCCTCAGTTTGCCCTTCTGCACATCCATCTGCATCTTTCCTATATACCTGGCCCTGGGCTATCGCTGGAAATATGAATGGGAAGTGGGCAGAACAGGCAGTGATAGTGGTGGAAGAAGGAACATGCATAGGAGATGCGGGACTGGGGAGGGAGAGCTCTTGTCTAGCACGCTCCAGGCCCTGACTTGGATCCCTAGCACCACAAAGAAAACAAAAAGCAACACGGTTAAGATGAGGCCATGTTCTGCTAGGTCAGAGGTAGGGAAGGTTAACCACTTGGGAGGGCTTCAGAGTGGAGGTGGCTTTGCTTTGAGCTTTATACAAGGATGGGCTTGGAATTCTTCGAGTAGCATGATGGGGAAGATCCTGCTGGGGGTAGGAGAAGCAGATGAACCATGGGGAAGATGGAGCCCCCCCCCCAAGCCTTCCTGAATCCCCCTTTGCAGTGCTAATGCACAGGAGGCTTGGAGCAGCAGCCTGAGCCTGCCAGCAGCTGGCATTGCTCATCCCAGTGCTGGGCCTGAGGTGGGGCAGGAGGGCACCTAGCTGTAGGGTATCTCTCGGGGTCCACAGGCTCACCTTGGTGCTAAAGAAGATCTGTTCTGTACTTCTTGGAATTGGCTGTGTTCTGCCACTTGTGCTTGGTCTTCTGGGTCAGGCTCCACCTTCTTGCAGGGTGGAGAGGCTGCACGTCTAGGGAGGAGGGGCTGGGCTGGCCCTAGAAGTGAGTGGACTTCTCCCTTTTTCTCTCTTCCCCAGTTAGTCCTCGGGAGTGAGGAACTTTTCCTCCTGGTTGTGACTCATTTGGCAGGATGCACAGTGACACTCAGTGAGCAAGTCTTCCACATTCTGTGCTCTCCTTCCCCCAGGCCGAGGTGCCCTGACCTTTGGACCTAGTCATACCCCATCCTGAGGAGGATAAGGTCACTGAATCCCTGTGTGTTGAAATCTAATCAAGAAAAACAATACCATTCCTTTTCTATGTTTGCAGAGCACTTTGTACTTTGTTAGCCATGATCAGGCTGTTTTTCATCCAGCCCTCCAGTGCTTGTCTGGTACCTACTGTGTGTGTGCTAGGTGGGAGAAAGACGAACACCATCAGGCTGATGTTTTGAAGGAGCCAACAGTCTGGTTGGAAAATGGGTGAACAAAGTAAATGTAAAAAATAGTGAGACAGGAATGTGAAAGTGTAGGCCAGGCACAAAGGAAGGAACAGTCAGCTATACCAGGGCAAATTAGGGAGGGTTTCATGGAGGAGGTGTCATCCAGAGGGTCAGAAGGTGAGCAATAATTTAGATATTTGAGTGGATTGGCAGGGAAGGGAGTGCATTCCTGGCAGGAAGAGCAACTCGAGCAGTCAGGAAGACATCCCCATGCAGCAGTGGGCAACAGGAGGTTGGGTGTGGATGTGGCAGTGAAGGCAGGAACAGGGTGAAGAGCGATGGGAGTAGGTCTCGGAGCGCCTGGCATGGAGCATCAGGAGTTTGAACCTTCCCCTCTGCCAGTAAGGGCCCCTGGTGAGTTTTTAAAGATCCCTGTGGAAGCAGTGTGCAGGATGGGTCAGAGTTGAGGCCAGTGTGGTCATCCACTTAGAGGCAGTGCCACAGTGAGGTAGGGGCAGAGATCCGAAGTGTTAGTGACTTAGTCATTCCTGGGGGTTGGTCCTTACAGGGCAAGAAACAGTTGAGGATGGTGCCCTTACACATCCCTTCAGGAAGTCAGCTTGAACACTGATCACACAGAAGGTACTGCACGAGGTGCAGAGACAAGATGGACTTGGGTTCTGTCCTTGGGGAGCGATAATCCTGCAGGCAGTGTTCTCTAGTCATGCCTGTGTTAGCTATAAGCAAAGGAGGACAATTCAAACAGACTGTGGCAAAAGAAAAGGAAAGTGCGTGTGTGTGGGGTGTGATTATTGGCTCATACACTGGAAAGTGTCAGTGGGTGGAGCTTCAGGAAAGGCAATATCTAGGTGCTCAGTGTCTCTAGTGTCAGAATCTTCCCTTTTCTATCATGTTTAACCCTTAGTCTGTGTATCTAATTCTTTTTCTATTTCCTAATAAGTCTAACAATTCTTTCCCTTCTTTGGTAGATTGATTCATTTAGGTTTTTTTAGGTTTAATTTTTTTGTTTGTTTTGGACTTGGAATGGTATCTTATGAATTTTAAAATTTTAATTAAAAAACCTCATGACATAACATTTATCATCTTAACCATTCTTAAGTGTACAGTGTTTTCTATATTTACATTGTGTAGACTTCATTTTTAGGCAGATTTCTCTAACATTTTCAGGCCAGTTTCTGGTACCAGCTTAACAGCTGCTGTGGAAAGAATAGCACTTCCAGGACTGGTTTTTATTGGCCCTCATGGGCCATGTGCTCACCCTTACCCAATCACCATGTCCCTTGTATTGGTTGAGACTGCAGGAGGGTCCAGGGAAAACCAACATGCTGTTCCTGAGAGATGGGATGTGGATGTGGGGAGGCAAAACCAGCAGGTGTGTAGGACACATAGGTAAGACCTGAATGGAGGTAGCAGCATTGCCTCCATGGGTGCAGCTTGGTACCTGCAGTGTAGGTGCAGGGCTGGGGTGTGGCTGTCCAGAAAGGCTCTCACTTGCCTGCATGGAGTGGAGCATTCATCCAGGGAGGGAGAAGAGAGCTGGTCACAGATGGCCACTGCACCACATAGAAAAGGTGAGCACCCCAGAGTACATATTTTCTTTCAGTGACTTTGAGGAGGGGCAGCTGGCCTGCAAAGGGTAGTCAGGAGTAGGAGGGGCTTGGTTCAGTGGGGTGCCCCACCTGGGCTGGTGTCTGCTCTTGGCCCACCGCTGCTTGCTCCCTGCTGCCACTGTCTATACCTCTACTGCTGTAGCTGCTTCCTCCTCCCTGAAGATCTCCACCTCTGCCTCCTGCTGGCTGCTCCAGAGCAAATGTCCCTGTGTTGCTTGAAGGAGTCCAGCCTGGGCCCAGCAAGGGACTGGAGTTGAGGCCTGGGCAGAGCCAGTCTGAAGTGCTCTCTTCCTCCCACAGGTCTTTCCCTGGAACGCCTGCCCAACTCCATTGCCTCCCGCTGCCGCCTGACTGAGCGGGAGGAGGAAGTGGTAGCCTGTTTTGAGAGGGCCTCCTGGTTGGCTCAGGTGTTCCTGCAGGAGCTGGAGAAGGTGAGCTGGGAGAGCAGCACCACAGCTGAGCTGCTGTGTTGAACACCTATACTTGCTGCCTGCGCTGAGTCCCTGGGTCGCCTTGTACAAATTAGAAAAAGGAACCTGCTGTCCTCCCAAGACACTCAACTTCCTGGGTTGGGGAAAATTCACTTTATCACACTGATTCAGTTAGAAGAAAGCTGTTTACCACCAGGAAATAGTTTTTGTAAATAAATGGGCTCACGTCACCTATGAGAGGCCAGGAACTCCATGATGAGCTCAGCTCATCAGACCAGATGTGCCAGCCCTGTATGCAGGTGTTCATGCGTTCACTCCTTGCTGCAACCCAGGGTGGGGTTATGTCTCTTTAGTAGCTGTGATTTAAGAGAGGGCAAATCATGTATGCACCACACTGTCCTCTGAAGGGCAAGCTTCAGGCTCCTAGCAGTTAGACATCCTTCCCTCTTAGTGGATGTCCTCCAAAGCACCCTGCCAGACCCCCAGGGGAGGTAGGGGCCTGGGAACATTCTCCAGGCCTTTCAGAGGTGATCTGAGAGCCAGCCAACAGGCCTCCCAGGCCCCATCCTACCTCGCCCGCCATAGGGGCCTGTGGTGACCGTCTGCAGGCATCTCTTCCACCTGCTGGCAGCTCACTGTAGGGTGTACCCAGTCTGCCAACAGGCTCAGGCTTCCTGGGGGGAAGACAGACAGCTACGTTCAGCAGAGACTGCTAACATGTCCTGAGTACTGGCCTCATGTTGGGCACTACTCTAAGGACTGACCCTGCATTCTGTAACGTAGGCCTCATGCTGATGAAGTAGGTGCTGTTGCTGTTCCCATTTTGCAGGTGAGGAAAGTTGAGCTTAGAGAGGCTCTGAATAACTTGGTGGAGTTCATAAGTAAGTGACACCGGCAGGAACACCAGGGCGCATGGCTCTGACACTGGGAGAGGGGGCTGGGCTGGTGCTTAGTAGATGTTAGCTGGCAGGGTCTCTAGCAGCGTAGGTTAGGATTGGCCCCCTGAAGGAGACAGTGGTGTCAGGAGCTGAGGGACTTCATGTCTAGGAGACATTGGAGCCTCCCTTGTGGCAGCTGCCAGGAAGGCAGCCCAGCACCCACTTTGATGACGGGCCCCGTAGGTCTGTCACTTCCTAGAGCCCAGGGTTTCTCAACCTCAGCACTGTTGACATTGAGTCCAGAGCCGTCTTTGCTGTGGGGGCTGCATCCCAGATCACAGGGTGTTAACAGCATCCCTGACCTCTACCACAGGATGCCACCCGCACTGTGACAACCCAAAGTGTCTCTGGAGACTGCCAAATGTCCCTCCCCAGTTGAGAGCCACTGCCACGGAGTCCCTCTGCTTGGTTGGATTGCACAAGGAAAGGAGAAGTGATTTCAAATCCAGGATTGAGTCCTGTTGCCTGGCAGAGTGGCTCCGAGGCCTGACCTCTAAGTGACCTCTGAAACAACAGTATTTTAGGGACACTTTACATTTGAATTGTTTGTGATTTGAAAGAAATTTTCATGAAAAAGATGAAGTCCTGATTTAAGTAAAATTGGCTTGTAGTTAAATGGATATCTTTTTTCTTCAAGTTTTGATAGTAATTCCAGTTCAGTAAATACTATCACTGTTTTCTCTTTCTAAAAATCTGGTTGGACTTGATTAGTAATGTTCAAATTTTCACAAAGATGGAGAATGTTATCTCAAAACCCACTGGAGGTTGGTTTTATGTTTAGATTTATATGTATAACTAGTTGTGTGAATATGTTTAAATACCAGGGAAATCCTTCACTGTCTCACAACCAAGTAAGACTCCTGTTTCAATTTGTTTATTAGCTTGTTAAAGACAGTGGTTGAAGACCAGGAAGGAACATCTATATTTTTTATCTTGACTATGCCAATTTAATTAGAATTCCCTGTAGCTAAAGACTGCTGCCTTTTACTTACTGAGAGGCATTTTATTGTGGTGTATGTATAATACTAAATAAAGAATATTTAACACTTCTCACCTTTTATAGTTGATCTGTAAGTTCAGATCCTTTTAAAAGCATGATACAATAGTAAATTAGATTTTATTTTTGAATTCTTTGGACTAAGTTATTCAGGATAGTATTTAAATAGCTATTTAAAAACAAGATTGAAAGTACTGTTTTTTGTGTGATCGGCAGTGGTGCTTTTTGTCAGCTCTTCAGAAGGATTAAAGTGGGGAAGGTACAGCATCAGCACCAATTTGTATGTGACCATAATACTTAATTAAAAACAAAATCAGATTGAAAAAAAAAAAAAGATGAAGTCTCCCACACAGCTGGAAGCCAGGTCTTCAGACTTTTAAAAGGAATTCAGGTGATGTGATGGAATGGTGCCCAGGCCTAGAATCACATCTGACAGTAGGCAGGCAGGTGGCCAGACAGCTGTATCTCCAGTTGAAGGAGGGCAGGCTGTAAAACTCTGGGCCTCTCAGAAACACCATGTGGCTCTCCGGAGACTCAGTCCTGGAGATACTGAGATGCTAAGAACCTCTCTCAATCTACCTCGACTTCTGACAGATAAGCTGAGTGGCTCATTGACTTTTTTCATCCAGATCAGGCAGGAGAAGAGGCCTCCTGAGGCAGGCCTGTCAGTGGGGCTGGGTGGCCCTGTCAGCACTGAGGTTTAAGTGACACTCAGTTATTGACTGGTTGCTCCCCAGCTTTTCCTGGAGCCAGAGTCTCTGCTCTGGGGATGCTCCTGACAAGTTCCGAGCATGTGTGGCAGGGATGGTGCAGGGCCTGGCAGAGGGCAGGTGCTCCCTGTGTGTGGGATGCATTAGTCAGGAAGTAGAAGAAGCCTGCAGTCTGTAGCTGGCCAGACTTGAGTTGGAGGTCCAGGCCCTCACCATGTGTGACTTTAGCATGTTCTCAGCCTTAGTTTCCTCCTCAATAAAAGATAGGCAAAAATCAGCCTTGGAGAGCTGTTGTGGTGAGCCTTCAGTAAGGCCTGTGGGGCTATTCTGGAAGTTTCCTTTCTCCTTCTTTCCTATCTGGCAGGTGTGGACAGCATTGGAACTCAGGGGGCATAGTCCCTGCCCTGAAGGAGATGATATTTTGCATAGCAGATGGGCAGGGCCAGTGTGAAGTGACCTCTCCATGCCGTCTGGGAGCTGACAGGAAATCCACACAGTATAGATGCTGGAGGCTGACTGCCTGGCTTTGCTTCCCACAGCTGGGCTGACTGCCTCGGTGTTCCCACCTGTGAAATGGGAGTGACAGTTCCTACCTGATAGGGTTGCTCTAAAGATGGAATGAGCTAATGAATTTAAAGCTCTGTGATTGCTGAATAAATCACATTAGACAAGGGGCTTCAACATTTGGCTGGGGGCAGAAAGCTTTATTTTTTATTTTTACTTTTTGTGGCACTGGGGATTGAGCCCAGGGCCTTCGTGCTGAGCTACATCCCTAGTTCTTTTTAATTTTTTTGTTTTGAGACAGTCTTGCTAAAGTCACTAAGTGGCCCAGGCTGCGCTCGAACTTGTGATCCTTGTGACTCAGTCTCCCAAGTATAGATATAGTTTAAATTAAAATGAGTTGGGCTGAGTTTTGTATACACTGGGTGACAGTGGGGCCACCTCCTCTGGCTGGGCTCTCACTCCAGGCCTCTCCCTCCAGACCTTGAGACAACACCTCCCTCTCTGTTCCCCTTCTCAGACCACAAACAACAGCACCTCCAGGCACCTGAAGGGCTCCCATCAGGCTGACTACGAGCTCACCTACTTCCTAGAAGCCGCCCTCCAGAGCGCCTACGTGAAAAACCTGAAGAAGGGGTAGGTGGCTGACAGCAGAGCAGGGCCAGTGTGTCTCCGCAGGCTCCGAGAGGATGCAGTGGGCCAGCTTATGTCACATCTTGTCCGGTGGGGGTATGCAGAGGCCAGGCTTTGGGAAGCTGCTGGGACAGTAAAGCCTGCACGTGCTGGGAAGGAGAGTGTCCCCACTGAGTCCACCCCTCATTACCCACCGTGGCTGTCCTCATGGGGCGCAGGGGAGCTGGGGCCTGGCAGAGATGTGGAGAGTAAGGAGGGTGTGGAACTGGCTGGCAGGTGTGGGGCTGGTGGTGCTCCCTCTTGTCAAGGACTGGGAAGGTTCAGGAGGGAAAAAATCAGATGGGAAGGCTGGTTCTCACGCATACTGGCTTTTAAGGGATGGTGAGCTATGAGAGGAGGATGGTAAAAATAAAGGGCTGTCATCATTTTGGGGTACTGCTGTGGATGAGGGAGTGGGAAGATTGCCTTCCTGTGCATCGTTTTGGGGAACCCTAGGAGGACTCACCTGCGTGAGCCCCAAGAACATGGTGTCCAGAGTGCTGCCTGGGTTGCTTGCTGCTGGGTAAAACAGTGCCCCCCATGACTAGAGGACAGAGTAGCTGGTGTTGGGGGTCAGGTGGGGAATGGTGGTTCATGGGAGGAGGAGCCACAGAGTCAGTAAGGAGCCACATGACTCCAAGGCAGCCCTGTCTGCTGGCAGTACCCTTATTCGGGCGGAGTGGGGTTCCTGCCCATCTCTGCAGCAGAGATTTAGGGCCCCCTCAGCACTTCCTTTCTGTGGTCAACAGTCCTCCATCGATGTCACCAGCAAGAGGGGGGACTCACATGGGCTTAGTGCAGCCCATCCCGCAGGAGGGGAGGCTTGTCACATGCCCAGGCTCACCGCTCAGCCTCCCTGCACGGCAGTGGGGGGGGCCAAGCAGGTATTTCCTCCTCCTGGGTGGGGAGTCCCAGGGTGACAATCACTGATACCCGGAGGCCCCCGAAGCCCATGAGTCATGTTTGGTATGATTTATTTTGTTAAATTTCACCGGCCCAGTCTTCATTTACCTGTTTTTAGATAATGATTCTTGCCCGTGATACCTGTTTAGTCAGAAGAAACATACTTGCTATTTTCTTCTGCAGTATACTCTTAACGCAGACAGACCACTTCTGTGACCAAGCATGTGTGTTCTTCCTACCCACAACCAGTTCTCCAGAAACCCAGCCAGGAATTACATAGTCCAGTTGGGTGCTGACACTGACCAACACTGGCACAGGTCCCGCAAGACTGCCCCTCAGTTGCTAGCCACAAGTAGCAGGTCCCCGCATCACCTGCAGATTCTGTCTGACTTGGCCTCAATCAGGTTCCCACAGCTCCTCCTGGGGTTGGTAATGTGGTTAGAGCAGCACACAGACCCAGGACAGCAGTTTGCTTACTAGGTGACGGGGTTGTAAAACAAGGTCAGAATCAGCAGTGGGAGGGATGTGGGGGGGGCAGAGCCTCTGTACCCTCTCTGGACTTGCTGTCCTTTGTGGGTTCATTATAGAGGCTCTGTTATGCAGGACTGGTTAAACTGTGGCCGCCGGTGTTCACCCCAACTTCATCCCCTACCTCGCCCTTTTCAGACCCCTTACTCTGGGTATTCACTATTAACATTTTGGTGTATGTCTTTCATGCTTTTCTCTGTACAGATATGTAGTTGTATTTTTTTTTTTTCTTTTTTAAAACCAAAACTAGTGTCTGAAGTACACACTTCCTGTAGCCTGCCTTTTCTTCCATGACTTGCTTGGCTGCTCATCTCTCTTCACCATAAAGTTGCCCACTGTGGGGGTGGAGGGGAAGGTGGCCGAGCCTACACCTGAGGCCAGCTCAGGGCAAGGTGGGTCCAGGCACATGACAGCCTGGGGCCTGCGGCCAGGAGAGTCAGGCTTGGGCTGGGTTCTGGGTTCGAGGTGCATGAGGATCGGGCAGGGGTGGCCAGGGGTTCTAGCATAGCTGCAGTCTACAGGGGAGGGTTGGTGACCGAATAATGCATGCTGTTGAAACAGTAGATTGAAGATATCTGACTGTAGAATAGAAGCCTGGGTGAGGAAGGTAGTAGATCTCCAGGGGAAGGCAGAGGTTGTGAGATTTTTCCAGACTCTGTTAGATACAGAGTCCTCCTTTGGGGGCGTCTGGGTGCTCCGTGCCTCTGAGAAGGATCTGGCTGAAACACAGGGCTCGGCATTTCCATGCAGGGAACATCGCTGTCCAACTCAGAGCCCTGTCGCATCAGAGCTACATTCCTTTCTGGGTGTCTGAAGCCTCTGAGCTTAAGTCCTCAACTGCCTGGAAGAGAAGAAAGTGGAGTCCCTTGCCCAGAATTTGCAGAATTCCATGGTGAGGCCCCTTGCAGAAGGCAGAGGTAGCTGAGATGGCTGTTGCAAGCAGATGGGTGCAGGCCTTGGGGAAGCCTGTCTTCCCCTTCCTCTCTGTTGGTGCTGTTGAGGGGCAGGAAGGGTGCTGTTAAGAACAGGGTGACAGGATCCCGGCCCAGAAGCAGGCCACCTCCCTCTCTCCTCCCACCTGGCAGAGCAGGAGGGTGGGATGTGCAACTCTGAGCCACCCCCTAGGAGCGAGTCCCAGCTCAGCTGTCAGAGCCCATGGGGCCCTGGGCAAGTCCTTTGAGCTTTCTGCAGCTCTTTATTCCCTAGCTGTGAAGTAGGGGTGAAGACTGGTGGGGATCAATCAGATCAGAATACCTACCCAGGTTCCTGGTACATCACACCTGCTCAGAACATCAGAACCAGTATTGTTATCACTTATTTTTCATGCGGGCCACGGCTGGACAGGCTGCAGGGCCAGATATGAACTTCATACTTTTTGTTTCTCTTCTGTGGTTTCCTAAGTGCAGGCCAGGGAGTGTTGGTGTCCATCTGGGGCCAGGGAGCTGAGGAGGCTCATCCAAAAGTTGGCTGTGTGACTGCAGAGGAGGCTGCCTAGGAAGGCTATGTTCTGGGTGCCAAGGAGCCCAGCTGCCTCTGCCTCTTCCACAGATGCTTCTAAGCCCTGATCCTGTTGGGAACATCAGCTTTGGAGATGGTGGCCCAGCAAGCTGGTTCCTGTTTTTATTGCTGAGGCAGTGCATTGCCCTTCCCTGCTGTGCCCAGGGCTTCCGCCTGAAGCTCCTCCCTCTGCCAGTTAGGAGCTCCAGGGGGGCATCTGGGACTCAGGACGATGCTGATGCTGATGCTGATGCTGATGCTGCTCTCTGCCTGTGAAGGTGTGGAAAGGAGCTGCAGTCTGTTTTTGTAAATAAACTTTTATTAGGACACAGCCACACCCATGCCCTCACATAATTGTCTCACCACAGAGTTGAGTGGTGGCAATTGATACCTTATGGCAAAACCTGTAATGTTTGCTGTCTTGACCTATACAGAAGAAAATTTGTGACCTTTGCACTCAGAGCTGAGAAGTCCCTCCCAAGAGTCTCACAGGCACAAAGGGCAGGGTGGGTTGTAGATGGAAGCCCCATGGGGTGGAGTTTGTGGGAGGGGACAGTTCTAATATCAAGGTTCTTTCTCCATTTGACACTTAATGAATATCCCATTGAATAATTTGTGCCCCTTATTAAGTGCTAAATTTGCACCAGGCACTTGTTAAGCACTTTGCTTGTATGTGTTCATCTTCCTCAAAGCCCTCTGAAGTAGGTGCCAGAGTTAGCCATCTCTGCAGATGGGAAACTGAGCATGGACAACAAACATGATGTGTCCTGGGCAAAGCCAGGATTCTGCATGCAGGGGTTGTCAAGCTTTAAGAGCTGGCACTCATAACCACCAGGAGCCACTGCCCACAGCAGAAAGCTGCTAAGACCCTGTTCCACACTCAGTCTGCACAGCCCAGTGTCATTTCCCCTGGGCCGCCTCATGCTTGGCCAGGGCTGCGTCCCCACTTCTGATGTGAGACACAAGTTGAGAAGTGGACTGGGTGCCCTCACCAGTTAGAGGAAGTCAGGATGGGGCCTGGCAGTTGGAGGCTATGCCTCTCCTCCTGAGAGTTCTTCCTCTGCCCTCTAGCCCGGCCCTCTTCCCTCTGAGATGGTGCTTCTGTTTGTGGCAAAGTAGGAGCTGGGAGAGGAAGGAAGGAGCCCTTGGAGGTGCTGCTCCTAACCCCTTCTGCCCAGGGTACCTCACCTCCACCTCTTCCCCACACAGCATTTTCTGCAGGTGTAGTGAGATTAAGGTGAGCATCAAGGGCAGACAGGTAGGAAGGAGGAAGAGTGCCCTGGGTGCCAGCCTGGAGCACATGCCAGGTGCACAGTGCTCTCTGTGAAAGAGGTCAGTGGGCAGGGGTTTGAAGGGGCTGAGTCACTGGCCCACGCCCACCCAGTGGGGTTCCAGCTGCAGATCTGAGAGTCCTAAAAACCTGAGCCCTTGCTAGTGTTCAGGGTGTGGAAGGGCAGCCTGGCCAGCCTGCAGGATGTGTGGAGGGACAGGGTCTTGGTATGGTTGGGGCCTATGAGTACATCTTTAGTGCACAGCTGAGGGCCTTCTTTTGCCCTCTGTGACCCTGAGTCACTACTCTCAGAAGATGGCTCCTCTCCCTGCAGGCAGCCTCTCCCATCTGCATTCTGTACACTCAGGCTGTGGGAGAGGGAGATGACGTAGAACGTGAGCACACAGCACACCGCAGGTGCCGGTGCTGGGCGGAGGCATCAACCAGCCATCACCTCAGAAAGCCCGAGTGCTTTCAGTTGCATTTCTCTTCCTGTAACTACCCCCTCCCTTTGTCCTACTTCCGCCTGAGGCACAAATTTCAGTTCTTAAAGCCAAGATACTGGCTTACCCCACCCACCCCAACCACAGGACATAAAGAGGAGTGGAAATTAATCATCATTTCTTTCCAAGTAAACAACCCAAACATTTAAAGTCTGAGGGTGAGTAGCAGTCTCCAGGCCACATGGCAGTTACGAAGCCCCTCTGTCTGTTTCCTGTAGCCCAATCCAGCTCATAGGTAGTCCCAAGAGTGGTACAGTGATGTT